AAGAATACCTAAGACAGTTGAGCAACTAGAAGCCTGTATTAGACAAGAATGGGACAACATTCCTATTCCTAAACTTGAGCAACTTGTCTGGGGACTGAGGAGACGTTTGCAGACTGTTATAAAAAGAAGAGGGGATGACACAGTGGTAAACATGGCCTTGTCCCAACTTTTTTGAGATGTGTTGATGCCATGAAATTTAAAATCAACTTATTTTTCCCTTAAAATTATACATTTTCTCAGTTTAAACATTTGATATGTCATCTGTTGTATTCTGAATAAAATATTGAAATTTGAAACTTCCACATTGCATTCTGTTTTTATTCACAATTTGTACAATGTCCCAACTTTTTTGGAATCGGGTTTGTGTGTGTGTGTGTGTGTATATATATATATATATATATGGCATAAAATGTAATGCAAGTCAAACCATGACCATTATTCATTCCTGTATCAACAACAGCAAGTGACATTCTCCTCGGTGATGGTCTGGCTCTAGTCAACGGCACTCTGTATGCCATCTCTAATGTGTGCCAGGAATACACAGTGAAGAATCTGAGCAGGGTGGAGTTTCTGGGCATGGTCGGCCTCTTCGAGTCCATCATCAGTGCAATACAACTGTAAGATTTGTTCAGAAATCACCAAAAAAGTAGACCTGTTCCTAAACGTCAGTTTTATTTTGTCACCTATACAGGGGGATTCTCGAACATGACGAAGTGTCTAAAATTCAGTGGACATGGGAAATTGGTAAAGTACGGCGATGTGAAAAGAAAATCAATTTCCGTTATGTCAATGTCATCTGAGATTTGATTTTTTTTCTCCTCTCTCTTCAGCTCTTATCCTGGCTGGATATGCGCTCTGCATGTACGGCTTCTATAGCTTCATGCCTGTGGTGATAAAGATGAGCAGTGCCACAGCGGTCAAGCTTTCCTTACTCACTGGAGACCTCTTCAGCCTGTTTTGTGGGCTCTTTTTGTTCCAGTACACGGAGTAAAATACTTAATTGAGACATATGTATTTTATACTACAAAATATAAATTATTATTATATTTTTTTTAAATGTAATTTGGTGATTTGCAAGAAACATTTCTTAATATTATCGATGTTAAAAACAGCTGTGCGGCTTAATACTTTTGTGGAAACCACATTTTGTTTAGGATTCTTTAATGAATAGAAAGTTCAAAACTGATTTGTTTGAAATAGAAATCTTTCTCTCTTTTTTTTAAACATTATTGTCTTTAACTTTTAATCAATTTAATGGATGCTTGCTGAATAAAAGTATTAAATTCTTTCCAAAAACAAAAGATCTTACTGTCCTCACACTCTTGAACGGTGTCAATATATGAAAAATAAATTATACAATAAAAAAATTGCAAGCCATTTAAACAAAACTAAAAAACGAATTGGTGCCTTAAATTTGATTAAAGTATAATAAAAATACAGTCTACAGTTTGTTTGTTTTTTGACCAACTTTTATGTTAATTAATCATAACAAAAAAAAATGGAGTGAAAACTCATTATCAAAATAAATGCTGAGTAGAAATAACAAGAAATTAAAGTGAAGTTTTTGCTGATGGTCTCTTTAATCCTGACGTTCAGAATGAGCATAAGTGGCAGCAGTATCTGTGTCCTTGTATTCTTATCTCAGATATTCTGGGTCATTGTGACATGGAGCTTTATATTTCTTTAATGTGTGAAGGTTTTTTGAGTCCCCTATGTCCTCAGCTTACTCTTTGACCTTCCTCACACAAAAAAATATATATATTTAGATGAACTTCTTTCAGTATTTTATTTTTTTACAAACGGTCTATCAATGTTGAATAAGGTATTTCAGTCCATATTCATCTCATTTGTTGTTCTTCAGTTCTCAGGACTGTATATTGTGTCATTGGTGGTGATCCTCGTTGGTTTCATCGTTTAACACCGTCCCTACGCTGAACCGAGCTCTTGACCCGGCATCTGACGAGGAAGGTTGTGACAATCATGCCGGTGAGTTTGATAACGACAGCACTCAAGGCTGTGTGGATGAGAACCTGTGCACAAGCAGAGCAAGATATATAACCAAATATAATGGTATTATAACTAAATTATATTTTTTGCAATCATCAGATCTGTGTTTATGCAAAGCGTTGGAATTATCTTATTTAATGGTCCTATAATTATCTCTGAGTATTGCATGTCCCATAAAATAGATCTTTGGTCTTACATTGAAAAACACAGCAAGAAAGTACTGTTAAAAATACACAATACATATTTAGTGTTTTCCAATGCAAGATCAAATATAATACTTAATATAACAAATATAATACTTAGAGTTAAAGTTTGAAGAAGCACAAAGCAGCCACCACCAAATGCATAATTTATTAATTAATTTTTTATTTATTTATTGTGAGCTTCAAGGGATAGTTCACCCAAAAATGAAAATTCTGTCATTAGATACTCACCCTCATGTCGTTCCAAAGTCGCAATACCTTCGTTCATCTTCATACATAAATTAAGATATTTTTTTGATGAAATCCGAGAGCTCTCTGACCCTTCATCAGCAAGGGTCCTACCACGATCAAGGCGTAGAAATGCAGTAAGGACATCATTAAAACAGCCCACGTGACATCTGTGGTTCAATATTAATTTTATGACGCTACGAGAATACCTTTTGTGTGCAAAGAAAACAAAAATAACAACTTTATTCAATATTTCTTCTCCTCCGCACCACCGTGGTGCATGCGCCTGCTCTCCTCTCAATGTAAACAAGGTGCGTCTTTTAAGTCAGCAGCATCAAGCGAATGCATTGTTTACGTGCAGGAAAAGCACACGCATGCCATTGTGATACTCTCCAAAATGGCGCCAGGGTGACACGGAGAAGAAGAATTATTGAATAAAGTCATTATTTTTGTTTTCTTTGCGCACACATAAAGTATTCTCGTAGCTTTATAAAATTATGGTTGAACCATGATGTCACATGGGCTGTTTTGACGATGTCCTTACTACATATCTGAGCCTTGATCGTGCTAGGACCCTTGGCCTTGCTGTCTATGCAGGGTCAGAAAGCTCTCGGATTTCATCAAAAATATTTTAATTTGTGTTCCGTAGATGAACGGAGGTCTTACGGGTTTGGAAGACATGAGGACTGAAGTCCTGTCCAAACTTTAAAACCACATAAGAAGGGTTTGATTATATAAATCATTTCTGTTTTTGTCAGGTGTTATGACATATTATTGACTGATTCAGACTGTAAGGAAACATTTTATAACCTTTATCTTGATTTCAACCAAGCCCTCTCTGCTGGATGAACAACAGGAGGTGACTGTCCCATGAATTGGTTTTGCTTTGTCATCTCGTGGCATTTGTACTTTGCCAGAACGCCTTCCATTGCCAGATGCTGCTAACCACTCATCTTTCTCAGTTACCACATAACTCTGCTCTTTGTTTTCCCTTTTAGCTTTTTTTCACTTGTGTAATTGGTGTGAATTAAAAAAATAAAGTTCACCATATTCATCAAAACAATTTTATGTGAGGCACGCAAAAATATTTTTGATGTATTTAATATATTATTTAAAATAACCTAATGATTATAGGTAATATTTAATAGTCATATAATAATTATAATTACCTATTTAGAAGATCGTTTCCACCCCAGCGTTTAAAAAAAAAACTGATATAAGATAGACTAACACTTCGATATAAAGTCACATTTGGGAGATAAAGTCACACTTACCGTTTTTATTGCTTCTACTCTGAGCAAGAAACAGGCTTCCACACCATAGGCTATATTTTACTGTGTATAACTCGACAGCCCAGTATACTAATGCACATGAACAATACACACAAGCAGGGGTTTGCGGGGCCCCAGTGCAGATTGTACCAATGGGCCCTGTTTGAAATTGTTTAATTTGCATGTTCGTTCTATTTATTTATTTGTGCTGTTTACACAATGTTTACGTTTTTTCAAGTTTGTAGGTGTCCAGATACAGAAACTGAATAATCAAATGTAAAATAGCACGGCATAGTCTTCACTGTAAAAATTAAATATACAGTCAAACCAAAATGTATTCAGACACCTTCAACATTTCTCACATTATCAGTTTATTTGCTATAGTTTAGAAAATGGTAATAAAATATGACAAGAACTCAGAGTTAAACTGTCAGAACAAATTCATCTGGATAATGTCAGATAACTTTGATAGAAAGGTATGTAATGGTTTACAATCAACCAAAAATTCAGACAACTGTTAGTATGACAGTATTTACACAACTATCAATACTTTGATAGTACTTTGATACTAAATATATTGTAGAAACTTAATTTTCTGTAAAGCTGCTTTGTAACGATTTGTATCGTGAAAAGCGCTATACAAATAAACTTTAACTTCGTTGACCAATTACTAAGCAATGCTTAATTTTTTTTCAGTCTGTGGTGTAAAAAGTTTGCATTAGCAATTAAAGAAAAAACACTTAAGCAAAACATGGTCAGGCCAAAGTGTCTAACTAATTTTTGGTCCCAATTTTTTTTTAAATCAATTTCACTGGTAGTCCACTGTATGAAGAATTTATGGGTATGATATGTCAGTTTACTTTATTTTGCTATACTCACTTACATAAATGACAAAAAAAAGTAATAAACTTATTTAATTAACATTACAGCAGCTAGTAAATTAGGCGCGGTCACTTTAAGAGATAATGCATTCATTATAATGATACACATCTGATTTCTTTCTCTACTGTTTACAAGACATAACCGACCGTTTTTTCGAGGATACTCTCCAAGACTGGTATTTTGACATCACTTTGTTAGTTTAGTTCTTTAGAGGTCAACACACCAGCTTGTAATTTTCAAGTAACCCCAAACACCTTTAGTTTGTTCAGGATTTGTTTGATCATGGGAGCTAAAACCTCATTTTTATACACAAACATGTCACAAAAATGGTTTTGTTAACGATTTGTATCGTGAAAAGCGCTATACAAATAAACTTTAACTTCGTTGACCAATTACTAAGCAATGCTTAATTTTTTTTCAGTCTGTGGTGTAAAAAGTTTGCATTAGCAATTAAAGAAAAAACACTTAAGCAAAACATGGTCAGGCCAAAGTGTCTAACTAATTTTTGGTCCCAATTTTTTTTTAAATCAATTTCACTGGTAGTCCACTGTATGAAGAATTTATGGGTATGATATGTCAGTTTACTTTATTTTGCTATACTCACTTACATAAATGACAAAAAAAAGTAATAAACTTATTTAATTAACATTACAGCAGCTAGTAAATTAGGCGCGGTCACTTTAAGAGATAATGCATTCATTATAATGATACACATCTGATTTCTTTCTCTACTGTTTACAAGACATAACCGACCGTTTTTTCGAGGATACTCTCCAAGACTGGTATTTTGACATCACTTTGTTAGTTTAGTTCTTTAGAGGTCAACACACCAGCTTGTAATTTTCAAGTAACCCCAAACACCTTTAGTTTGTTCAGGATTTGTTTGATCATGGGAGCTAAAACCTCATTTTTATACACAAACATGTCACAAAAATGGTTTTGTTGATTCCTCAACTATATGGATTAACTGCCAACTGTAAGTGGTTTGCTAAAAGTTATGTTAGAGGTTTAAGAAATATTGCACAGACCACTTAAGAATTTAAAGGGCTAGTTCACACAAAAATTAAAATTGTCATCATTTACTCATTTTCTCCAAAAGTTTTTTTTTCTTCTGGAACACAAAAGAAGGGTATTTATTTATTTATTGTCCATACAACTGAATTCAAAAGGTTCCAATGTTATTTGGTTCCAAGCATTCATCAAAATATATTTTGTTCTGCAGAAGAAACAAAGTCATAAAGGTCTGAAACAAGTAAATGATTTTTGGGTGAACTATCCTTTCAATAGCCTGTCAGTGTCAAGAGTCCAAAAATGACTACTAAACAATAGGTAAATGTATCAAGATTAATTTTTTATTCAACATTTGTTCTTTTATTTATTTATTTATGCTCCTCTTACAACGTAATGGACAGTTAGGTCTATACGCAGCCCCAAATTTACAGGCTATATACAATTTGAACTTTCTCCATAGGGAAAACACACTCTATATATACGCATATATATAATACCAGTGTGGAAAGAGGTCTGAAAAGTTGCCCCAACATATATATATATATATATATATATATATATATAACTGTACACGGTCCCAGAAACTGAAAAGAACATATTTTAAAACGTTAGCACTGAAACAAGAATACAAGAATTACATGCAAAAACAGCCACATCAGTTAGTCTAAGAATGTATACATCCAAGTGTGAATACACAAAACTAAAACCTGACAACCAAAATAAAAAAGTTCAATGTGTTTTCTCTCACACGCTTACAGAAGCAAAACAAATGCAGGGACTCTACCGCAACATAATGCTAGTGTGATGGGTAAACCTGGCTTGCTCTTACTGGGACAACCGACAGGGATCACAGTGTTAGTTTGAAATCAAATCTCTTTATACATACAGGCTGTGC